TTCCTGCTTCCATGGTTTTCATGTCTGAACTTTGCAGTCCAACTGCTCTGTGTGTGATGTATCAGTCTTTGTGGGAGTTTCTTAAGTCTTCTGAATGGCCTTATCACCAGAATGAGATCTCTTAACTCTTTTTAGCACTTAGGATTTATTTAGGTGCCTGTTGTAGCATTTAAACCACAGAGAATGCTGAGTGTTTCAAGACTTCACAAATGCACTAGACTGCCTTCCTGTAGTGCTGCTGGGAGAGCTGGCAACAGTGTTCAGCCTGCAAACTGGAGAAGTTGCACCTTTAGGAGCAAGTTGGTCCTGCTAGGTACCATAAGAAGTGGCTTGAGTGTGTCCTTTTGTCTTTCAGATTTAGTTCTATACAAATGACTGAATCGAGATGGTTGAATTCACATCTAAATAGTACAAAACTGTTTGAGGCTTGAGCCCAGTTCCCCTAACTTCTGCTTTGATAAACAGCTTGATTCTGATAACCAGCTGATTTGAGTCCCACACAGCTTTCTGGTCTAGACTTTTTCCAGCCAGCCTTGAGGACCCATCTCCTTAAGTCTCTTGAGGGAATTAAGAGTCCCCTGTAACTTCTTGCAATAGCCCAGGCCAAAATCTCCCTGCCCGTGACCATGCTGTTGTTTTGTTCTTGGGAAGGAACTGACATCTTGTTCACACGCAAGCATTAGGGGGAAAACAAGAAAGCAGGGAACTCTACAAAGAGCATTTTCTTTAATGGGAGACATGAATGGGCATGTTGTTTGTAAAGGCAGTGTAGCCAGTTAGGCAATATTTTCATTATCTCAGCAACTCAGGGGCATTCTCTTTGATGTGTTATCTGCCTCCATGCCCAGCAAGGCAGCAGAAATGGTGGTGTTGATGCACTAAATAATGCTGCTGCCATATTATCACCTTGCTTTGTTGAAACAATAGCAGCCACTCTAGTGCCTCAGGCACCAGAAGACCAGTGCAAGGAGTTATTTTGAACCCTTTCCCATGACCTTTAGAAAATGGCTATGCAAATCTCATCTGGCTCCTCCCTTCCTGGCCTGTAAAAAGGCTCTCCTGTACTCAGTCCTCTCAAATTATTTCTCCTCCAAGGTGTAAGGCCTGGTGTGTTCAGTGTGGGGACAGGGCATGTCTCTGGGTGTTGGGCATGCAATGCACAGAGCAGCATCTTTTCTGTCACAGCCTCACATCAAGAACTCCTAGATGCAGGGCAGCCCTTTAGCTTCTGCCCTGATTTACGTCCAGGTGCTGCTGGTCACCTGCAGCCCCCAGGGCAAGTGTCCAGGTGCTGCTGGCCACCTACAGCCCCCAGGGCAAGTGTCCAGGTGCTGCTGGCCACCTACAGCCCCCAGGGCAAGCAGAGCCGAAGGGCTGGAGAGTCTGCCTCCTACCTCACCAGTGCCTGAGAACCAGCTGGGAGGCAGGGATGGGTAGGGACCAAGATGTGAGAAACTTGCCAGGCCTGTATCATCCTCTGGAGATGGTACAGGTGAAGGTCTTGTCCCCTCTGTCACCCTTCTTGTGCCCATGGAGCCTCTGGGAGGAGCTCAGCCCCCAGGCCAATGTGAGTGTTTCACCAGTGAGGGCAGAGCAGTCTCCATCTATGGGGCACTGCTGATGACCAAAGCAGGGTGCCTGTTGTCCCATCCCCACTGAGGAGGCAGCCAAAGCACAAGGTGGAGAGACAGATTGTTTCCCCAAGCTGAGGTCTGAACCCAGCACACTTCCCCAGGTCCTGGGGCTAAGGGGATGGCCCAGCAGACTCAGCCACACATGGGGCAGCTC